CTGTAGTAAATGGTCTGGCCATAAATGATCTGAAGAGCAGCTTGAAGGAATACACCACCTGGTCTACTGACCGAGAGTTGAACTTTCATATATCTCAAACTCTTAACACTAGTGGTTGGGGGGTGGTAAAACGTGCATGTGCTGCATTTTTACTAGCCCTGAACCCCCTCCTTAAGTTTCAAAGGACGACCGACGGGTTTGTACACATGCCACAGCAGTGTTGTTTTGCTTCATGGTCATGATAAAACCTCTCCCTCTTGTTGCATTCAGCAGGTTGTATCACCACCAATCAAGACCCAATCAGGACCCATTCAAGTGAATAGGGCTGTGCCGCAACCACCCTGCAACCGTGTGGAATGGCAAGGTAGTGCAGCATTTACTGGGTTAGAACAGGCAATGAAGAGGCACTGGGGTTTATTTACTAAATCTGGTTCTCTCAGAATCTCGTGCACTTCTGCATGGAAACCAATCGGCTTCCAGGTTTTATTGCTAAAGCTTAATTGAACAAGCTGAGATTAGAAGCTGATTGGCTGCCATGCAGAGGTGCAGTAGATTCTGAGGGAACCAGCTTTAGTAAATAAAACCCATTGCGTCACTTCCTTACCACCTGTTTCGACTCTGTAAATGGTGCACCACTGCATTTCAACCAAAGTGATCCACCACACACCGCTTTCCAGAGGCGCGATAATCCACCACACACCGCTTTCCAGAGGCGCGATCCACCACACACCACTTTCCAGAGGCGCGATCCACCACACACACCGCTTTCCAGAGGCGCGATCCACCACACACCGCTTTCCAGAGGCGCGATCCACCACACACCGCTTTCCAGAGGCATAATCCACCACACACCGCTTTCCAGAGGCGCGATCCACCACACACCGCTTTCCAGAGGCGCGATCCACCACTCACCGCGATCCACCACACACCGCTTTCCAGATGCGCGATCCACCGCACACCGCTTTCCAGAGGCGTGATCCACCACACACCGCTTTCCAGAGGTGCAATCCACCACACACCGCTTTCCAGAGGCGTGATGCACCACACACCACTTTCCAGAGATGCGATCCACCTCACACCACTTTTCAGAGGCGCAATCCACCACACACCGCTTTCCTGGGGCGCAATCCACCACACACCGCTTTCCAGAGGCACCATAGAGGCACCTACACACCACCACTTTCCAGAGGCGCGATCCACCACACACAGCTTTCTAGAGGCGCAATCCACCACACACCGCTTTCCTGGGGCGCAATCCACCACACACCGCTTTCCAGAGGCACGATCCACCACACACCGCTTTCCAGAGGCACGATCTACCACAGATCGCGTTCCAAAGGCGCAATCCACCACACACCGCTATCCAGAGGCGCGATCCACACTGCTTTCCAGAGGCGCAATCCACCACACACCGCTTGACTGTTGGACTTGCAGAATCCCGAGGCTAACACTTACCTACCCCCCTTAAAACACCACCACCCCTTCAAAAACCTTTTTCCCCAAATAAACACGCAACTCACTTTTTGGTGTAAAACCGGCCATAGCAGCCATTTATTTAACATAACTCAACATAAATATCTTACAGTAACTCAATTGATACCTGACAGTAAATACCACCCGGGTCCAAGGTCTCTGAAGGCACCATTACTCCCATCACCAACTCGGCTGTATCTACTACCCAATGAAAGGCCCCCAGCCGCTACTACACCGCCTCGGGGACAATACTACCGTTACTTAACCCAGATACAGCCAAATGAACTCCCACATTACCAACATGACCTTTTATTGGGAAGGGACACCCATACCTACGATGGGCCCAACCCATAATTCCTCAACTTGTCACTCCACTCCACCACCGCCTTCAAAGACCCATCGACCCCTGCCAGCTGCCATGACAATCGAACAAACACTGCAGGACACAACAGCCATCCTGAACCTTGAACAAACACCATGAACCCACATAAAACAAACACCACGAACAACCACCAAACAGCAAAACAACACCGGAACAAACACAATGACAAAACTATAACCAACACAACAAACAGAATACAAACCAACTTCAGGGCGGGAGGGCGGGAGAAACCACCTCCGTGATGGCACAAGCTCCGACTGACTCCGACAAGACACCACCCCCCCTTTCAAATCCTGCAAGACCACCCACCATGCTACTTACACCAATCAAGTAAGTAACCACCCCCCATCCCCTTTTCCTTGCCTATGCTCCACCCTAAATACCACTCTCCGCCTCGTCTGCACGCCCCAGTCATGCTGGCCCTCCTTATACTTCGCTCAGTCAGGCCTTGACTTTTCAGAGGCGCTATCCACCACACCACTTTCCAGAGGTGCAATCCACCACACACCGCTTTCCAGAGGCGCGATCCACCACACACCGCTTTCCAGAGGCACGATCCACCACACACCGCTTTCCAGAGGCGCGATCCACCACACACCGCTTTCCAGAGGCGCGATCCACCACACACCGCTTTCCAGAGGCGCGATCCACCACACACCGCTTTCCAGAGGCGCGATCCACCACACACCGCTTTCCAGAGGCGCGATCCACCACACACCGCTTTCCAGAGGCGCGATCCACCACACACCGCTTTCCAGAGGCGCGATCCACCACACACCACTTTCCAGAGATTCAGAAGGGCTGGCGCACGTCTAAACTTATCCATATCTATCTCAATCACTAATATGAATATTCTATACACATCATTGAACTGCTGCAAGTCCAGGTATCCTTGTCCTAATGACAGATTCTGCTCCATCCAGACCTGCACTTTGTTCCATCAAACCCTGAATCACGCTCATCCTTCGGTAGCCCTTCCTCGCGCTCCTCTCTCATTATAATTCCGGAAGAGCGTTAACCTCTATTTTTATCTTCTGGCAATATGTGTGATTAACGGCACGGACTCTTATGGCTGCTATTAAAGCAGACTGTACTAGATTAACATCAAATTAGGGATATTATCATTTAATTTTAAAATAATGGCCACGGCACACAGTTACTTTGTCGTTATAAATGGGAATCTCTCGCCGGAACTGGCTAAGGACAATAACCCAACTTGGTGAATGATGAGCTTAATGACCGTCTCATAAAGTACTAACAACATCTAATTTATAAACAAAATAATAAAACACGGGACAACGCAGCATGGCGCCGGCAGATTAAAGAAGGCGCTCAATTCCGCTAACACAAGGCTTCCCTATCTCTGGGAACATCGGCATCGTAACCTCAACGGTGAAATGATTTATATACATAATGTTTGCTTACAGGTCCAGTCAACCCAAAAGTGATAAAATGTAGCACAACCATGGGAAGAGGAGGACATTGCATTCTTTAAAAGGAGCCTTTCAATGCTGTGTGAGCTAACTGCTGTAAATTTGGCCTACGTGCACCCTGTTCATTCTGTGTTTGGCTCCTTGAGGGCTCTGCAATGATCTGCAGGTGGGGCCTAAGTGGCATGCCAGGCTTATGGAAGGACCACAAGAAAGGGTGACTTGGCACTGTTTCTTTTATGGTGAAGCAATTACCAAACTCAATAGTCAACCTATCACGTAGATGGTGATGGAGGCCAATGGAGAGAGGGCTTCCCTTGCGGCTAAGTTCCGGACTCCCCTGAGAGTGGGACAGCGGGAGTCAGGCCAAAAGTTGCACAGGTCGCCTGTAGGAGTGCTGGTTGGTGGTCCACTCATACATCAATCATATCCCCCTGGATGAAGCCACGTGACCCTGTGGCGCAACGCGTTGGGGAGGGACATTGACGTCACCACGTACCCAGACTCCTATGCACGGCGAGTACAGGAAGTGTGTGTCCACACGCCGTTCAGGCTGCACACATCACATACTAAAAGCGTTTTGATGTTTTTAAAAAGTGCAAAATTGGCACCAATAAATTCTTATGCTCACCAAGGATAAGGCACTATTCCTTTCTCTTTTTCCTCTGGCAATACACTGAGTAACAGGGAGAAAGTATACAACAACTGTTGGAGGGAAGACCTTACCCAGGATCTATTTACAGCAGAATAGTAGGAGCAAAGAGGAGAACCATTCAGTTTTCTACTTATAGAAGAACACACCAAGTAACTCATTTTATTTTGAGCATTTTTATTTGGAATTATGTGAACAGTTAATTTGCAGTGAATAGTCCCACTCTGATGGGATCAAATACATGATTGGATCTTCAACTTTATTGGACATTTATGAATTATTTATTTTAAGTATATATATTTTTATTAATCAATTTTAATTATATATTTTTATACTTTTGATTATTTTATTTATATAATTTGGATTTTTTTTTTCATAATTGATGTATTATATATCTCTATAATAACGAGTTGCACATTTTATGTTTTTATATTTTGACAAATTAAGGGCAATTATTTATTATTTAATTACTGAATTAATATTTGTTAAAAATGGATTTTATTTATTTATTCATGGTTATAATATAAGGGCGCGGCACCATTTTTACTTTTAACCACTTGCCTACCAGGCCCTTATACCCCCTTCCTTACCAGGCCAATTTTCAGCTTTCAGCGCTGCCGCACTTTGATTGACAATTGCGCGGTCATGCAACATTGTACCCATATGAAATTTTGATAATTTTTTTCTCACAAATAGAGCTTTCTTTTGGTGGTATTTAATTGCCACTGGGCGCTTTACTTTTTGCGCTATAAATTAAATAAGTGCAAAAAATTTGAAAAAAAAAAAAAAAGTTTCTTTGTTTCTATTATAAAATTTTTCAAACAGGTATTTTTTCTTCTTCACTGATTTGCGTTGATGAGGCAGCACTGATGGGCACTGATAGGCGGCACTGATGGGCACTGATAGGCAGCACTAAAGGGCACTGATAGGCAGTACTAATGAGGTGGCACGGATAGGCGGCACTGATAGGCAGCACTAATGAGGTGTCACGGATAGGCGGCACTAATATGCAGCACTGATAGGCAGCACTGATAGGTGACACTGATGATGGGTACTGATAGATGGCACTGACTGGCATCACTGCTGGGCACTGACTTGCGGCACTGAATGGCACAACCGCTGGGCACTGACTGGTGGCACTGACTGGCAGCACTGCTGGGCAGCACTGGTGGGTGGGCACAGGTGGGTGGGCACTGGTGGGCACAGGTGGGTGGCACTGGTGGGCACAGGTGGGTGGGCACAGGTGGGTGGCACTGCTGGGCACAGGTAGGTGGCACTTCTGGGCACAGTGTGTGTGACACTGCAGAGTGGCACAGGTGGGTGCACTGCTGGGCACAGGTGGGTGGGCCCAGGTGGGTGGCACTGCTGGGCACAGGTGTGTGACACTGCAGAGTGGCACAGGTGGGTGCACTGCTGGGCACAGGTGGGTGGGCCCAGGTGGGTGGCACTGCTGGGCACAGGTGTGTGACACTGCAGAGTGGCACAGGTGGGTGCACTGCTGGGCACAGGTGGGTGCACTGCTGGGCACAGTGTGGGCGGAGCTAGTGGGCGCACTGCTGGGCACAGGTGGGCGGAACTTGTGGGTGGCACTGCTGGGCACCGATCATCAGTGGCCCTGATGATCGGTGCCGATCCCCGCTCTGACAACTGCCGGTTCTCGGCAGTACTTTCCTCACGATCTGACAGCGTGAGGAAAGTGCAGCCGAGAACCGGCACTTGCATTTCCCTGTGATCAGCGTGTCATTGGACACCGCTGATCACGTAGTAAAAGGCCGCTGTGATTGGCCTTTTACCACATCTCGTGATCCGCTGTGTCCGTAGGACACAGCGATCATGGAGATCGCCGGGTGCGCGCCCCCTGGGGGCGCGCAGGAGAGCGCGTTCTGGGGGGACGTCATATGACGTCCACTCAGAACTGGCCGGCCGCAGTTTAGCCGTCATTCGGCTATCTGCGGTCGGCAACTGGTTAATTTGTTATTTTCAGTATATTTAATGAGAATATAGCTAGGAGCTCGCGAACTTACCCTAGACCAGTGGTGGGCAACCTTTTTTTTCAACTGAGCCAAATCTCGCCAAAACCATGATTGAAATTTATTTTGAGAGCCACATTTTTAAAACTGAAAATACATCTCCCATATAGTAAATTCATCCCCCATAGTAATTCATCCCCCATATAGTAATTCATCCCCCATAGTGTAATTCATCCCCCATAGTGTAATTCATCCCCCATAGTGTAATTCATCCCCCATAGTAATTCATCCCCCATAGTAATTCATCCCCCATATAGTAATTCATCCCCCATATAGTAATTCATCCTCCATATAGTAATTCATCCCCCATAGTAATTCATCCCCCATATAGTAATTCATCCCCCATAGCAATTCATCCCCCGTATAGTATTTCATCCCTCGTATAGTATTTCATCCCCCGTATAGTATTTCATCCCCCGTATAGTATTTCATCCCCCATATAGTATTTCATCCCTCATATAGTATTTCATCCCCCATATAGTAATTCATCCCTCATATAGTATTTCATCCCTCATATAGTAATTCATCCCTCATATAGTATTTCATCCCCCCATATAGTAATTCATCCCTATATAGTATTTCATTCCCCCATATAGTATTTCATCCCCCCATATAGTAATTCATCCCTCATATAGTATTTCATCCCCCCATATAGTATTTCATCCCCCCATATAGTATTTCATCCCCCCATATAGTATTTCATCCCCCCATATAGTATTTCATCCCTCATATAGTAATTCATCCCTCATATAGTAATTCATCCCTCATATAGTATTTCATCCCTCATATAGTATTTCATCCCCCATATAGTATTTCATCCCCCCATATAGTATTTCATCCCCTCATATAGTATTTCATCCCTCATATAGTATTTCATCCCCCCATATAGTATTTCATCCCTCATACAGTAATTCATCCCTCATATAGTAATTCATCCCCCATATAGTATTTCATCCCTCATATAGTATTTCATCCCCCATATAGTATTTCATCCCTCATATAGTAATTCATCCCCCCATATAGTATTTCATCCCCCCATATAGTATTTCATCCCTCATAAAGTAATTCATCCCTCATATAGTATTTCATCCCCCACAGTACTATTCCCCCCCCCCCCCTTCTAGTAAGCCAAGTCCCCCGTGTCAATTCACTTACCTTTTGCGTTCCTCTCGCTGTCTTCCCGCGCCGTTCGGGTCTTCAGGGCGGACTGTGAGAGGAGCCTAGCTCCCCTCCCCTCACGTTCGGCACGCTGCCCCGCCTACACACATCCTGACAGCCACATCCGCAGGCCGGATTAAAAGGTCCGCGCGGACTTTTGGGGCTGCCAACCGAGAGGAGGCAGGGGAGCGGCCGACCGAGAGGAGGGAGGGGAGCAGGCGCCCGGCACACAGAAGAGCCGCATTAGACTGGGTAAAGAGCCGCATGTGGCTCGCGAGCCGCGGCTTGCCGACCACTGCCCTAGACTAAATATTTATAGTGGCTCACAGGATATTTCCATCACAAATTCAATAGTCAACCGTAAGGCCTGTAGCACCCTCCTAGAGTAGGAAGCTAGGAGAGTTTAGCCTTGGCTCCTTTTGTAATTAGAGTGTTCCACCCAGAAGTGGGAGCTCCGCTTGTTTGCCTAACCCCTCCATTGCCATATTTGGCACCTTTTGGGGGGGGGAGAGGGTACCTCATTTTGACAGGTGGCTGCTCCCACTTCCAGCTCAGCCCCCCCTCCTTCCTCTTGCAGTCTCCTGGGAACCTTCATGGGTCCCAGAAGACTGCCGTACCAATCAGGATGACTCACACATGCTCAGTGGGCACCCGGCTGTGAAGCCACAAGTTGTCACAGCCTGGTGCCCTCAGTTGTGATGCCAGAGCCATGGAGGAAAGGGATGGCGCGGGTGAGAACATCGCTGGACACTGAGAAAAGTAAGTGTGTTTTTATTAAAAGTCAACAGCTACAGTTTTTTTGTAGCTGCAGACTTTTAATAAACACGAAAATGGCTGGAACTCCACTTTAACCAATTCAATACCGGGCAATTTTACACCTTCCTGCCCAGGCCAGTTTTCAGGTTTCAGCGCTCTCACACTTTGAATGACAATTGCGCGGTCATACAACATTGTACCCAAACTAAAATTTTATCGTTTTCTTCACACAACTAGAGCTTTCTTTTGGTGGTATTTAATCACCGCTGGGGTTTTTTATTTTTTGCTAAATTAACAAAAAAAGACCAAATATTTTGAAAAAAAAAACACGTTTTTCTTTGTTTCTGTTATAAAAGTTTACAAATAAATAATTGTTCTTCATAAATTTAGGCCGAGATGTATTCTGCTACACTGTCTTTGGTGAAAATAACCCAAATTAGGATGTATTATTTAGTCTGTAGGAAAGTTATAGAGTTCACAAACTATGGTATAGATCTGATTATTGATCAATCCTGAGGTACTGACAGCCAATCTAATTTCTTGAGGTCCAAGAATGTCAGAAATAGTACAGATATCCCCAAATGTCAGGACAGGACAGATATCCCCCAAATGTCAGGACGGTACAGATATCCCCCAAATGTCAGGACGGTACAGATATCCCCCAAATGTCAGAACAGCACAGATATCCCCCAAATGTCAGAACAGCACAGATATCCCCCAAATGTCAGAACAGCACAGATATCCCCCAAATGTCAGGACGGTACAGATATCCCCCAAATGTCAGGACGGTACAGATATCCCCCAAATGTCAGGACAGTACAGATATCCCCCAAATGTCAGAACAGCACAGATATCCCCCAAATGTCAGGACGGTACAGATATCCCCCCAAATGTCAGGACGGTACAGATATCCCCCAAATGTCAGGACAGTACAGATATCCCCCAAATGTCAGAACAGCACAGATATCCCCCAAATGTCAGGACGGTACAGATATCCCCCCAAATGTCAGAACAGCACAGATATCCCCCAAATGTCAGAACAGCACAGATATCCCCCAAATGTCAGGACGGTACAGATATCCCCCAAATGTCAGGACGGTACAGATATCCCCCAAATGTCAGGACAGTACAGATATCCCCCAAATGTCAGGACAGTACAGATATCCCCCAAATGTCAGAACAGCACAGATATCCCCCAAATGTCAGGACGGTACAGATATCCCCCAAATGTCAGGACGGTACAGATATCCCCCAAATGTCAGGACAGTACAGATATCCCCCAAATGTCAGAACAGTACAGATGTCCCCCAAATGTCAGGACAGTACAGATATATCCCCCAAATGACCCCTTTTTGCAGAGTAGACAGTCCGACGTACTTCATAAGAGGAATGGCGAGTTTTTTGAAGTTGTATTTTTTTTGTCATAATTTTTCGAAAAATGAAAAAATGAAAAAAATTATTTTCACTATTTTTTTTTTACATACTGTCACCAGTGCAGTACAGCGTCATCATATAACTGGCATGGCGGTGAACAGGGACACTGACTGGTGACAGTATGAAAAAAAAAAATATATATATATATTTTTTTTTTTTTTATTATTTTTAAATTTTTTATTACATTTTTTTTATTTTTTTTAAGATTTTTTTTTTTCATATTTTACTATGACCAAAGTAGTACAATGTTACCATAGTAACATTGTACTACTTTGGGGAAGTGATCAGTATTTTGTTTTTTGTTTTTTTTTTACACAATTTGCTTATAGCAAAGAATTACTTTGCTATAATCAAGCATTTACCTGAATGAAAATCGATTCATTCAGGTTTTTTTTTTTTTTTGTGCTTAGCTGTGATTTGGTCACAGCTAATCACATGACATGTGCATGTGATTAGCTGGGACCATTCACAGCTAGGCACTACTATACAATGGATGGCATGAATGAAGCCATCCATTGTATACAACTGTCATGTGACCTGCTGTGATTGGTCACAGCAGGTCACATGGTACCAGCAACGGGGGCCGGTACTCAGATCTGTCATCGGCTGTGTCCGAAGTACACGGCCGGTGACAGATCGCCCCTGCTGCGCCGCTCTGCATTAGCGCAAACTGCGCATGTGCTGGGAGCACGCCAAATGGCGTGCACCCGGAATGCAGAAGCAGTTTTGAAGCCGCCAAACGGCCATTGGCCGGGCGGCTAATGGTTTAAGGTGGAATAATTGCTTAGTCTGGCCTGACCGAGGTCTCACAAGGTAACCCACATGGAAGAAAAATATATTTGAAATATATTTTTAAAAATATTCTTCCCAAATATATTGACAAATATTTGAATTTTGGTCATATTCAATATATTTCAAAATATATTTTGAATCTCAGTTTTACTCTTAGTACTGAAATTGTTTTTATGTTTCTGTATTTTTTTTTCTTGTGTTTTTTACAAAAATACGAGATGAAAATTATATAACTTTTTAATATGTTTGGTATGAATTTTCATGCATCCTGAAAGTCCCATCTTTTCTATTGAATATATAGTGTATGTTGAAATGCATTTTTATTACAAAATATATGAAAAATATTTGTAAAAATACAATTCTACATTTTGGAATGCATTATCAAATATATGTAAAAATATATGTTAAAATGACTTTTTTATAAGTAAAAAAAAATCTGAAGAATATATTTACAATTTATATTTTTAAAAATATTTTTCATATATTTTGTAATATATAAAAAATGCATTTCAACATACACTATATATTCAATAGGACGAGTCAATGAAACTC